TTATGTTATAGATTTGTATTCAAATAAAATTAGAAAAGATTGAGCTAATATTTATTATTTTATAACGAGGTTATGTAATAATATGTTTATGCGAAGTTCGGAGTATCTTGAATTACTATGCMTTAGCGTCTATTAATATCACCAATCAGTGAAATCACAATATTTTATAATAATATGTTTGTAAAAACCCAATACAAATAATAAGCTGTTACGATTACGGTAACTGATGCTACGACGGTAAACGATGGACACCACTAGGACTAATCAGTTATAGATGAGCAGTCGATGTTTTTTTCTGTGCTAAAAGTTTAATTAATTAACTATTAATTGTATCGAGGTTTTGAGTTTATGACCATGAGTAAACAACGTGAACGTGTGTTTGATATTTTCAATTAAAAAAAACCTAAACCAGACAACTTAACTGGTTTAAATAAACCTAAATTAAAAAGTATTTCGGATAATAATGATTCCGATAATGCAACCGACAATGAATCTACTAGTATTAACTTACTAAAAAATGAAAAAATTATTGATCTTGGCGATTTGCAAACTGGCCCAATAAGACCAGTTCTAAAGGTAATTATAATAATTATATAACATTACATAGTGTAATTTTTATTAGGTATCTACTTATTATTAATGCTTAATAGAAACTAATCAAATATTTTTAAATGCTTTTTCAGTCTTACCCTATGACCAAATTTGGAAATCAAAAACGCAGTTTTAATGYTTCATATTTTATCAAACATGATTGGTTAGAATACAGCATACAAAATGATGCTTTATATTGCTTTCCGTGTCGTAACTTTGGTGCCAACGATAATGTCGATAATGAAGGAGTATTTTCAAAAACTGGCTTTAGAAATTGGAAAAAAGTAATTTTATTTTTAAAGCTTTTAACATAATTCAAGGCCGTAACTGGCAAAAAATTTCGGGGGGGGGAGGGTCCAACATTTTTTTAAATATAGATACTAAACACTTTTCATTTCTACGATAAAAATATAAAATTTTATTATTATCATTATTAAAAACATAGGTCATTATTATAATATTCAATTTACATAAACATAATAGTTGATTGTTTTTGTTTAATATTAAATTTACAAAATAATTATTAATTTATAGTCTATGAGCATGCAATATATGTCGATTATTTCATATTAGTAAAATAGCTCTATCTTTTTGAAGAGCAAATTTATTCAGGACGTCTTCRGGATCCACTTTAATATTTCTATGAACACTTAATAATGCTAGGCCATTTAAACGGGTTTGTCCAATAGCGTTTCGCAAAAATGTTTTCGTCCGTTTCAGCGTTGAGAACGTTCTCTCAGGTGTTGCAGTTGAAACTGGTAATGCAGCTAAAACTTTTAATAAAAAGTATATACACGGAAATAAATCAGAATTACAATTGTTTAATGCTTCAACGGCTGTACTAGGACGATCGTCCTGAGAATGTGAGATCCATTTCCTATTCCATAGTTTAATTTCTGTTTGTAATAAATCCATATCTATATAGTCAGAATATAAATTAAAATCTGTGGCTGATATTGCAGCTTTATGACACATTTTTGGTATTAATAAATATAAAGAAGACAAAACTGTTTTGTGTTTTGAAAATCTATCTTTTAGTTGTTGAATAAAATCGTCATAAAAAGGAATAGCAATAGCTATACGGAAATATTCTTCTGTAGAGTTAACATTAACGTTATTTCTATTTTTTTGACGTCCAACTAGTCTTGGCATTTTTATCTGATCCTCTCCGTCTATCAACTTTAACATATTTTTTGCCTTTTCAAATATTTCTTTAAATGTTTGGTTTATATTGATTCGCATGTCTTCAACTTCATTCAAAACAGTTTCGACAAATGTCACTGCTTCACTTAAATCACATGTTACTGATTGTAATGATTTACATAAAGGTAATGTTAATGAAAACAGTGTGTTAGATGTCACTAAACTAATAACAAATTCACTAGTTATTATGCTACGATACAGATTTAGTGCTTTTGATGATGTTTCAATATCATGAAATAATTGGAGTTCATCTAAAGTGTCGACAATAGGTTTATATATATCTAAAAATCGAATCATTCCATCGTGGTTTTCGACCTACCGAGTTTCACACATAGATGTTAATTTAGTCCATTTTTTTTCGGGAATAAATTCTTTAATTTTATTTTTTAACAACTCTGTTCGTTTAGCAGAACCATTAATGAAATTACCAACTGATTTAATTGTTCCAATACAATTACGAATGTAATGAATATTCGAAGAATGAGCTAGTGCTAAATTTAAAGAATGTGCACTACAATGAACGTACAGGGCGGCAGGGTGTTTTTCACGTATCACAGATTGTACGCCATTGAAATTTCCACTCATAGATGCTGCGCCGTCATACCCTTGTCCTAACATGTACCGACTATTAACACCGAGCCTATTTAAATTTTCTAAAATTACTGTTGCCAAATTTTGTCCTGTTGTAGAATATACTGGTATAAATTGTAAAAAATCTTCTTTTAGTACATATGTAATATTATTTTTAGCATCTATACTTTGCTCCAAATATCGCACACATAATGATAACTGTTCAAAGCAAGATATATCAGTTGTCTCATCAACCAATACGGAAAAACACTTTGATTTGTTTATTTTTTCTACTATTTGTTCCTGTATAATTTTTCCGCAAATTTCAATAAAATTATTTTGTATTAGAGGACTTAAATAAAAAGCATTTAATTTATTATTTTCAAAGTGGTCAATTAAGTTTTTATCGCCACACGAAACACGCATTCGCAATAAATCACGAAAATTTCCATCATTTTGTTCGGGTTCAACATATTTTGATGAAAGTGGTCCGGAATCATTAGTACCACGAAAAGCTATTTCTTGCCGGCCACATAAAATTATAGTTTCAATTATCGGTATTAATCTTTTTCGATTTAAACTTATTTGTGCAGCACGCGTTGAATCTAATTTTTGCGCAATATTTTGCTGATTTTTTGAATAGATAGCTATAAAATTATCACCTCGTAAAACATTGGTTTTATGAAAATCTTTTTTAGAATGTTCACTAAATACTTCAATTGCATGTTTCCAATTATTAAAAATTTTGAATACTAAAGAGGAAAGTTTTTGATTATTGCCTTTGCCTCCGAATTCTTGACCAAATATTACACAGTATTTACATAGGGCACCACCATTATCAATTGTAGAGTAAAC